GTATATACAGTATAAATGTATTATATGCTATGAACCGTTATTACCGAGACCTATAGAGTGAGACAGCAACACTTGCGACACCGCGAACGGCCCCCCACCGCTCCCCTCCACCCCACTCCCAGCGGCACTAGTCGGGACGGAGGGGCGCGCAGCTCATCACCAAATACGGATTGTCTCGTCACATTGGCATCGACTTTCGTCGAACGAACCCCTTAAAATTAAACAGCGTTGTTGTTCGTTAAATTGAAAATAAAAAATATAAAATCGGTTAAGCCGTTTGCTTTGCAGAAGAGTTAGACATGGGTAATACCCCGGATCAAGGCGAGAGGCGTTCGGAGCAGTGCGTGGAGCCTGCTGCCGGCCCTAGTAAGCAGCGCACGGAGCCTGCAGCGGCCGAGACGCGCCAGCAGCGCAGAGCCTGCTGGCGCAACTGAGGCCTCGCCACGTGGCGACCGCGCCCGCGCACGGTCCCCTAGAGCACGTGCTCGGCGCGGCGCCTCGCCCAGCAGCTCTACGGAGGATTCCCGGCGGCAAAAGCGGCGTCGTCGTTCGTCGAGGCGAGTGAATTCCAGGGATAGCGATTTTCAGTGTTTGTCGCAACAGGTTCGTCAAATTTTAGAATACCTTAAAGAACCACAGTGTGCCAAAAACGATCAAGCTAGTGATACTGCTTCCGACATATCATTACAACCTTCCGAGAAATTAATGACATCGCTTTTTTAAAATGAACCGTTACTAAAAAACCGAAACGATCCAAAACGTTTCATTGCGATATTAACACGAATTTAAAAGATCCCACTGTCGAGAATTCATCGCTTTACTTTCCAAGTTGCATCATTTCGATAGAAACGAATGGGAGCGTGTACGATATGTCGAGACGGAGAAAAAATACCTGGCCAAACCCGGTTTTTACGACATGGATGTGAATACTGAACTTCGCTATTATGATCCCAATTCATCTTGGCTCAAACATCTAGATAGTTCTTTTGGTGCCATTACTCATGCTTTGTTTCAGCAGCATGAAACTTATAGAAGTAATTTGCAGCAATTAATTGAGTGAGCACATTCCCTTACCTGCGTTTTGAATGCTGAAACACTTTATGAAAAAGTTTCCGAACTTTTTACTAAAAATTCTAACTTCATGAAGGTTTCTGAAGATTTTCTTCAGCTTGTTTACGGGAGACGAGCTGATGTATACAAAAGAATCGTGACAGTATTTTGTCAGGTGTTAAAAACAAATTTATTCGTGAGGATTTACGTAAAATCCCTCCAACAAATGCTAACCTGTTTAATCCAGAATTATTAAGTAACTTCCTGCAGAAAGCTGGTGGGACTAACAAGGTATTTACTAACAGCAACAAGCGCTCAGCGGATGAGCCCATTATGTCTATGCGGAATAGACAGGATGTCTCACGTAACATATGACCGCGAAGGTCGGTTCGCGAGCAGATGTTCAAGAGCACAATGCCTACGGTCCTTAATCGAGGAAAGGTAACAAGGATCGCAGTTTTCCATTTGACAACTCTGGCACTAAACGTGACGTTAAGAAACAGAACAAGCCTAATCGCAAAAATAAATTCAACAATAGTCGCTTTCAATCACGTAATCAAGATCATTTTTGGTTATCGCATTCCCTTTTGCAAAGTACCCCAATTTGTCAATCACAATCAATTTCTTTGTTATCAAACACAAACGGGTGCTGCGATGGCCGAACAAATTTGAGAATTAAAAAAGCAAAAAATATTAGTACCCGCACCACAAACACTCAGTTTCATGTGCCCCATGTTTCTAGGGAAAAAATCTGATCAAAGCCCTATTTTCAATTTGAAGAAACTCAACCTTTATCTAGCTCAGTTCAAGTTCCAATTGATAAATATGCAACGAGTGCCAGAGTTTTTACAAAGGAAGACTGGGCTGTAAAAATAGATCTAACACAGGCCTATTTTCACATTCCCATGGCCCAGCCCCATTGACCTTTTTTTTAAATATATAATAGACACACGCTTGACCACAATCTCACCTGATGTTAAGCGACGATGTGACCGACGATGGGACGCGTTTGCCTAAAAAATGCCTATTCACTCTAGCCTTGAATAGTCCCAAATTGTACTTTTTGGGAAATACAGATGCCGCTAGAGCATTCCATTCCTTTGCCGTACGCATCAGAAAGGAGGAAGCAAAGCGCTCAGTGCGAATAGGTGGAATATCAACGACATAACAATAGAGTGCTCCGGACCTTCTAGTCGACCGAAAGAGGAACGATGAGGGCGGAGCCAAATTGAAAAGTTCCTGCGCACACTCTCCGAAATGTATCCGATAGAAAACCGACAAGCGGGCTACTTTTCTGCGATGGTCGAGATTTTGAAGCTTCGACTCCACAAGAGAATTATTGTTAATAAGTCTCTTTGCTTTTCGCTCCACCGAGTCCAAGGCAGCTAACTGGTATTAGGCAGAGCCATCCCAAAGGTGGCAGCAGTAATCCATACAGGATCGAACTTGTGCTTTATACAGATTTAAAAGCTGTTTAGGTGTGAAGTACCGCCTGACTAGTTTTCTGGCAGCCGCTTTTGCCAAGCACTCGATGTATCGCCCAAAGTTGAGGTTGGATGATAAGTCCAGACCAAGTAGCTCAAGGTGGTCCCTTATCGGCACGGATACACCTCGGAAAGTCGGAGTAAGGTGTAGGGGACTCCGTTTCGATGTGAAAAGACACGCCTGTGTGTTAGCCGCATTAAACCTGACCCTGTTAGCATCTCCTCAGTCGGAAGCTGCTTTCAGACTCGGGTTCAACCGGGTGACCATCGCCTCTCGCTTGCACCGGATCTCTTCGCTGTTGTCTCGGGCATCTGGCACATAACTCTCTACCGCTGTGCTGTCGTCTGCGTACCCAAAGATACCGGGCATCAGCAGCAGGTCGTTGATATGCAGCAAGATAGAGTGGCGGAGAGGACAGATCCCTGAGGTACACCGGCATTTATACCATGAGGAGCAGACGAGTAACCGTCTACAGCTACACAGATTGACCTATCCTTCAGAAAATCGCCTATCCATGTGCAAAAGCCAACAGGAATTCCGTAAGCTGGAAGCTTGTTTAACAGGCTATCATGCCAAACCCTATCGAAGGCTTTCATATGTCGAGAGACACGGCAAGCGATTCCCCGCGTTTCTCGACAGCCTCGCTCCATAAATGTGTGGCACACCATACTGTCGATCACTGAGGAGATCGAACCATTTCTCAGAGTCCTTTACAAATCGCACGAAATGAGAGACCCCCGAGCTCCTGCAAATCATGAGCTTGCCATTCGGACTGTCCTCAGCACCAACGGCGCAGCTGTTGCGCGGCAAAGGAATGAGAGTGCTCGTCTACTTAGACGACTTTCTCATTGTGAGTCAATGTCGACAGTTACTTATAGAACAAGCTGCAGAAGCTGTACGCGTTCTATTGACATTGGGATGGACTGTCAATCACAAGAAGTCCGTACTGATCCCGACACTTATAGTAGACTATCTAGGTATTACGTGGAATCTCGAACACAATTTCAAATGTCTACCTGCGGACAAACGACACAAAATAATGACAAAGTTAGTCCAAATACTAGGGCGGAATGTTTGGAGTCTGAAAGATGCACAAAGCATTCTTGGAATGCTAAACTTTGCATCATTCGCCATCCCAAGAGGTCGTCTTCATTGCCGCCCCTTACAAATGGCCTGTGCTCTATTTCCAAAAGACCACTCCATCTCGCAGCCGCGAAAGCATTGATTTGGTGGCAGGGAGCGCTCACGGCGAGCACACCCATTCACCCGAGACCTGTCGCTCACTTCTTTACGACAGACGCGTCCGGCGACGGTTGGGGCGCAGTTATCGACGGGACTCAAGTGAGCGGAGGCACTTGGCGCGCAGAACAAATAACCTGGCACAGCAACGTCAAGGAAATGTGGGCAATAATTCACTCCGTTCAAACACCTACACGTTGTATGGAACTCGACTGTTCTCGTTCAGTCCGACAACAAAAGCGTAGTGAGTTACATACGCTACGAAGGCGGTCTGCGCTCGATGAGCTTCTACAAAGTAACGTGCTCTTTTCTGTAATTGCTAGATCAGAACAACATCCAATAGTCCCTCCTTACATTCCCGAACATTTGAATATGGAGGCCGACAGACTGTCGCGTTATAAGTTAGAAGGAGAGTGGACGGTATCGGCGATAGCCTGTCACAAAATATTCCGACGATTCGGAAAGCCACAAATAGACTTATTCGCCTCGAGGAGTGCTCACGTAGTACTGCGCTACGCATCTCGAGTCACAAGTCGAATATCACGACGCGTTCAGCAGAGAATGGTCGTTTCAGATAGCGTGGGTGTTTCCTCCGCCACACCTCATACCCCGTGTCCTGGCTCATCTCAACACAGCCAGAGGGAAATTTGTGCTAATCGTGCCTCCGTGGCACAAGTTGTTCCCCGTGTTGGGTAAAGTCTCTGTTGTACGCTGCCAGCGTGATCGCCAGCGCGGACAGCACGCGCAGCGCCGTCACCTCGTCCAACTGGCTCGACTCCTGTTCCATCGATGAGGTCATGGCCAAGGGTAACTGGCGACCACCCAACACCTTCGCCAGATTTTACTCCGCTAAGATACGTCCCACTTTGAATAATCTTTCCAGGACATTCGCAATAACTTAACTATCTTGAACAAGTAATTAATGATTTGTTGTGTTGATTTTTCCATTTACACTTACTTCAATACCGTCCTAATGTACTCTTAATATTTACTTGTTTAGTATACGTGTTGGACTATTTTGTGTTAATTTGAATTAAAAACATAAACGATTACCACAAATTTCATTTACATTATGTACTACCCATGTATATCTCAGTGATATACATAGTAGTATAATATCACACATTGGCATTTTTCATAAGTATATAGCTCACCACCAAGCGATAACAAACACCTTACTCTATAGGTCTCGAATAACGGTTCATAGCATATAATACAATGTTTTACCTGAAATTAAAACAGTTATTATATGCGGAAACCTTATTCAAGACCTATATTTCCAAGTCTATATAATAAATTCCACTTATAGTGACATTCAATGTGACGACACAATCCGTATCTGGGAGTCCCCCTGGTGATGAGCTGCGCACCCCTCCGTCCCGACTAGTGCCGCTGGGAGTGGGGTGGAGGGGAGCGTTGCGGGGCCGTTTGCGGTTACGTCAAGTGTTGCTGTCTCACTCTATAGGTCTCGAATTTCCGCATATAATAACTTTTAATTTCAGGTAAAACATTATATTAAGTTAATTCAAACGTCTACAACTAAAACTTTGGCATCCACTTCATTTATCGTCTGAGGAAATTCGATCATGTTTCCATTTACTGTAAGGAGCTGAACTGATTCCCAGCAGATTTTGCCGGAATACTCGTATTCTTAAACTTCTTTATGGCATCTTTATTCATTTCTCACACACCACCTTATCTTAATGAGCCATTTGAATTCGCCCATCAATCCAGCCCATGACTTCTGCGCTCATCTTCAACTCGAAATTAAGATGCCCTTGCATAGGTAAGGAAACGATTTGTCGTTGTACTGGGACCTCCCAACCTGGGACAAATCCTTTACTGTTCAGGCTATTCGTTTGTGGAGCGCTTTACCTTTGTCTATTCAATAAATGAAATCATTACATATTTTCAAAAATATGGTAAAAGAACGCTATCTAACTTTGGTGTGACTTGAACTGCTTAATTATTTTTATGTTTTAAAATTATGTTTAGGAAATTTTATATTAGTATGTCTAGGAATATCACAGTAGTTTACGAAATTCATATATGTTGATTTTATTATTTTTAATATACATGGTAACAGATTGAACTAGATAAATATTTAAAAAGGCAAACGATAAGCTGATAACTAACCCGAATACGTAAAAGGAAATGCCCCTAAATATAAGAAAACGAAAATCGTGCCATTTTACAAATACTAACACTCTTCATTTGGGCTACTCTATAAAACAGAACAGCTGAGCTGTAGGAAATTGAACTTCAGCGTTTCAAGCCTTTCTACTTAAAGAGTAGTATTCCTTCATACGTTGCTTAGGACAGACAAAATTAAATCCTAACATCAATGTATAGGATGGAGCACGCCGCTAAGGAATTTTTCTCAGGGCAGGACCTTATAGTATGTACTACTAATAATATCATTTGCACACATACTACCTAACACCGCATCATGCGCCAATACTAATAACGCATCGTTATGAACGTCACTGTACTCCACTGAACTACACAGGCTACAAAGTGAATACACCGATATACGCGCGAAGACGTGACGTCTCGTCTAACATGCACTAACGCACTCTTGTGTTAGTGCAAGCCACCTAACCGAGCGACTGCGGTGGCGGCGCTCCAACGAGGGGGTGCGAAACTCATGGGAAAGCGTGCGCAAAGGCAAGGGCACTCGCTGCGTGTTCAATCTTACGCTGAGTATTACAAAATGTTAGAGGAAGTGTTTTCCTTTGGCAAAAATATTTAAAAATAACGTAGTGCTTTTTTACATAATATTTGGTACGGGTATCAGCTACTCATTAGCCTTTTTAAATATTTACCTCGTTCCACCTGTCATCTGTACGCATTTGTATTTGTTTATCGATTTTCTATCCTATTGATTAGTAACTCCTCACACACCGCCTTCTTTTTCCTGTTTGTTATATAATTACTTCCATCCAAAGGTTGTCTGAATAAGACAAGAATAAGACCGCCCATTTAATTGTATTGTATTGTTTTCCTTTTCTAGTGTATACAATAAATAATATTGTACTGTTACATCAATATTAGAATCTACCTATCTAATATAATTATGCGCTCGTCTGAATGCGGTCAGCTTCAATCAGTCATAAGTAACTCATGTTTGTCCTTCATTTTCCCCTCTAAACGATCACTATAACACTCTTAGTTAATTATGTACATATTTGAGACAATACGCAGTGAGAATTGTTATTGAAAGACAAAAATATCCGTATTGTTGTCTAAATTATAATAAAACTATTATATAGGAGGAAGAGCAAGTAAATAATTTCCACAATGATTATTTCTTTCATTTATTTTACACAATATTTTCAACCTAACGTCAAAGGACATTCTATAACTATAATAATCCCAATACAAAAATATTTTTCTTTTCTCCTTATTCATAATATTGACAGATTTATACTTTTTACATTTATGCAATTCAACTCGAGTTTGCTTGTATTTAGGTAATATTTATACTATACATATCAGAAAATTCCTAGTGTGATGTTGATATATTCACAGAGACGTCGGCCCCTCGCAGGTAATTCGCTACAATATATACAATATATTTATTAGGTATATAAAATTTGGACTATCAACACGTACATCACATCTGAACGCACATAAGCAATATTTACATCATAGAGGTTCGCATTAAAACAACTGTTACATCAATAACTATTTAAAAATTAAACAACAGAAACATTATCTCACACATTTATGGCAATTTGACATTGAATCCCACGATGATGTAATATTTTTACCATTTAATAGACAATTATAAAACACAACATAGCTATATTTTACATAGTCTTAAACCGAAATAAATAAATAATTCTCTAAAGTAGTATATTGCTTATTGTCAAATCAATTTAAAACTCTACAAAGATCCGGGCCCCGCGGGCTCGCATAACAATTCCTAATTATTTATGTACTAAAATCATCGTTACTCAAACAAACGTCTGCAGGAATGTCGCGACGAGGCGCCTCGCGGCGTTAAGTCTCCGCGTGGCGGAACGAACACTCCAACGTCTACACTCATTTTTACAAGTCGCGTCGCACGGACGGGGCGCCGCCGTCGGTCCCGGAGCTTCTGCGGTCGGCGAAACGTCGTTACGCAAAGCTGCACGATGACGGACCGCGCTCGCCCCGGCGACGCGACGCCGACAGATTATATTTATACCGTTCTATGATAACGTTGATATGATTCGAGTCGATCGGAACAATAAATAACATCTCGTAAAATAGATTCAAACACTTACTTTAACAAAAAAGTAAACGGGAAGAAGCACTGACGCGGAAGGAAGGGCCGAAGCCGGCCGAAGCGGAAGCGACGCGTGACAGAATAACGAATACAAAATAAACGAAGCGTATAATTTACGTATTAAGAGTAATCCCGCTACGATTACGGAACGAGTAACGGGGAACAGCGGAGAGGAAGAGAGGGAGAGAGGGAGAGAGGGAGAGAGGGAGAGAGGGCGAAGGGGAAGTTCAGCAGACGCAGAAGGGGAGCGGCGGCGGGCGGGCCGGGCGCAGCGGGGCGCGCGGCCCGCGGCGGCGGCGCTAGCAGAGCTTGTCCTCCAGCACCAGCTGCGCCGTGTCGGCCGTGGAGTCGGCCGCGGGGTCCAGCGCGCGCCGCCGCCCGCCCGCGCCGCGCGTCTCGCTGGCCGACGGCGACAGCACGGCCGACGCCACCTTGTCGCGCAGCTCGTCGGGCACCTCGTACACGCCCGGCTCGGGCTCGGCCGCGCGCGTCACGGCCTCGTACATGGGGTTGGCGAAGTCGCGGCCCTTGCGGCCGCCCGTGTCCTCCAGCGTGTAGGCGGGCTCGCCGGGCGGCCCCGCGCCGCCCACGCCGCCGAACTCCACGTTGGAGCCCTGCCGGAACGACACGCTCTGCGACGACGCCAGGCTGCCCAGCGCGCCGCCCTTGCCGCTGCAACAGGCCGACGTCAGCGCCCCGCCGCGGCCGAGGCCGGCGGGGCGCGCGGTACTCACAAGGGCCGCTTCCGCACGACGAACCAGGCCGCGGCCGCGCCCAGGGCCAGCACGACGAGCAGCAGCACCGGCACGAGCACGGCGGCGCTGGTGGCCGTGCGGCCGGCGGCCGTGCCCGCGGCGCCGGCGCAGAAGGGCGGCTGCAGCGGCGGCCGGCACACGCACTCCAGCGAGCCGTCCTCGGCCTCGGCGCAGCGCCCGCCGTTCTCGCAGGGGCACACGCGCGGCGCCGCCCGCTCCGCCTCCACGGCTGCAACGGACACGGGGTCAGCCGGGGCCGGCCGGGGTCGGCCGGGGTCGGCCGGGGTCGGCCGGGGTCGGCCGGGGTCGGGCAACTGGCGCCGCGGCTCACCGGCGTCGCAGGCCAGCTCGTGCATGACGCGCTTGGGCGGCGGCTGCTGGTCGGGGCAGGCGCAGCGGTGCCCGGCCGGCACCAGCAGGCACAGGTGGCTGCAGGCGGCGCGCGAGCACGCGCCGCGGGTCCCCGCCAGCGACGCGTTGTACCGCAGCGGGTGGTACACTGCGCACAAGGTTAGGGTTTCACGGCCCGTCGGCGAATCGGAATCCGGCTCCGCCGACGTCCTCACCTTTCACGGCCGACGGATTGACTAGGTCCTTGGAGATAACGAACGGCACGCCTCTGCCGAACTTGTCCTGTCGCACCAGCTCGCCCGTGTCGCGGGTCACCCAGTACAGGGACGACTCGAACACGTCGAGCGAGATCGGGTGCTTCAGGAGGTCGCCTTTCAAGATCACTTTGCGATTGGAGCCGTCGTGTTTCATCGTTTCGATCGTGTTCAGTTTCGTATCCACCCAATAGATGGCGTGGTCCATTGCGCTGTCTATAGCGAGTCCTGTCGGATGCCGAATGGAATCCCTGACGACGGGCCGCCTCTTGGAACCGTCCATCCAGGCCATCTCGATCTTCGGCGCGGAACCGGCGTCGGCCCAGATCATCTTACCCATTTGGGGGTCGAGCACCAACGAAGTCGGGCTCTCGAGGCCGGCGCTGACCAGCGCTCGTCGATACCTACCGTCCGTTCTCGCTACCATCACGCGCCCTCTAGGTTTTGACCCCGCCCTGTCGACCTCGGTCCAATATAAATTGTCTCCAACGTAATCGACGGCTAAGGCTGTGGGTTTGGCGTTTCCTTTCATGTTGAGATCTTGTGCGAATCCACTTTTGACTTCACCCTGTTTGGCGTTAATCATATACGAACGTTTGATAGTTTTATCGTAGCTATCAGCCCAGAACACCATCTCATTCTTAGGATCGTAGTCAATGGCCTCGATTCTCTTCTCGGACGCGATGATATCGAGCTCCTCATTTTTATCCTGGACGAAAGCGCGAATCTCGGGACCGTTGGCGAACATTAAAATAACGTCGTCCTTCAGTACTTTACAGACTCCGGACAGACTGTCAGCCAATCTGAAATCCGAGACAACTTTGTCAAGTAAACGAATCTATTCGTTTAAAACTTTTAGATCTACCTAAAAAAAATACATACTGGAAACCATCACGGCAGTTGCAGCTGTAACTTCCGTTGAGGTTCGCGCAAATTTGCGAGCAATGATGCGTACCGGCTGCGCACTCGTCAACATCAACACACTTCTTTTTATCAGCTTGTGAAATAATCCATCCCTGGAAACACGTGCAGATATACCCACCGGAGCCAATCGCACCGCCCGCTAAAGTGAGGTTCGTACAGAAGTGTTCGCAACCGCCTGCAAAATAATTTATAAACAGTGAAACTTGCAAAAGAGAGGAAATCCAAAGTAAAAAGGAGTAACTATTCAGTTCACACACAAACCTTTGTCAACATTAGAGCAAGTATGCGTATGATGGCAACCCAGTTCATCAGAGCCGTCCCCGCAGTCATCGGCCAGGTCACAGAGTTGCGTGCGGTCGACGCAATGCCGGTTGGCGCACTGGAATTGCGTGTAAGGGTCGCACGGTTTGATGCGCGATGAGCACAGCGTCATGTTGTTCTCATCCGACCCGTCACCGCAATTGTCCACGCCATCACAAACTTGGTACCTTATAAACGTGTTTTAAATAGAGTATTCACTTCAAACCATTTTATTCACTTCAATTAATTTATATTATAGTTTAAACTCTGTTTCCACATTCTACCGTCATTTTATGTTTATTTTCAGATGCTAATTAATAAATAAAAATTAACAAATCTTCTATATTTACTCTATTCTAGTAAAACTTAAAAAAAAACAAGCGCGCTACAAATACTCGCCCTCGGATCCAACATTTTTATCAAAATTGAATTACATACATATTTGGGATTAGGAATTAAAGCCCAATGTATGTATAACTATATTTTTGTAGAAATACATCTCAATAATTGTTGGTATATTCAAGCAAGCTCAAAGGGCATAACTGAGTTCAATAATCAAGTTTTTCATTACGAAAAGTCATATTTGACGTTTATTACGAAAGGATTTTACTTCGTAATGTATGGAACTGTGCTTTTATTATGTAGTTTAATTAATTACAATATATTAATAACACAAAAAAGGTACAAATGAATGCTATTGTGCCCTTTAGTTCTATTCATGAGTCAAGTATTAAAAGTCACATTTAAATTAATTACCTATGCCTTGTATATTTTGCATGCAGTTACAAAACTACAAATTTTTTTTTAAACTGCTTTCTGTATAAAACTTGTGGTATGTTTAAACATAAATGAAATACTTAAATGTATATTTTAACTATTTTTTTTATCAGAAAACCCTAAAAAATATATTTAAACACATTTATCTACGAATTAGAATTTGCTGCTTGTGCCTTTCTTTCTTCCGATGGCAGAATACTTCTACATTTTTAAATAATTTTATACTCTTGAATTTCACCTCGAATGACTATGATATTTCGAGTTCTTAGGTTTTCACGATTGTTACACATAGGAAATAAAACTATTTTTCCGGATTTAAATCGCGTATATTTGTTTTTTCAAACAAACCGACGTTTCGGGCCCTTTACAGGTCCCATGGACACGGTTGACTGAGGTGGTACAGTCTTCAACCAGTTATGTCTAATATTGATGCAAACCACCCTATTTTTTCACTATAGTTATTAATTAAATACCTTATTTTTAATTTTACAAAGAACACATTCCAATTTACGCTATATTAAGTTTAACAAATTATTTTATTGAATGAATTTTTAAATTGAACTTTTAAAATTTTTAAATTGAAAAATTGAACTTAAATCCGGAAAAATAGTTTTATTTCCTATGACTATAATATTGTTAACCCACGCCAGTCACTTACCGAGGCACGCATCGGTGGTTATCACAGTGAAACCTGCGCAGAGTGTCGCAATTGAAATTAGTGCAGAGCGCCGGTGCTTCGTCAGACCCGTCACCGCAATCATCCGTTCCATCACACAAGTCCGATTGGGAAACGCATAAATTGTTGCCGCACTGGAATCTGTAATGGAAATGACCACAAGCATAATAATTCTTTTTGTTCACACTTGCGTTTAAAAACAACCTATTACTCACCTGCTCTCGGGACAGTATCTATTTCCTGGGTATCGTGGTGGACATCCAATCTCGTCTGACAAATCCCTGCAGTCTCGATCGCCATCGCAACGGAAGTAAGCAGCTATGCAGTGGCCTGATTTGCATTGGAACGTTCCATTTTTGCACTGAAAACCTCCGCAATCCATCTCATCGGAGTTATCTCCACAATCGTCCTCGTGATCACAACGCCATCTCGAGGAGATACACTTGCCGTTACCACACTTGAATTCTGATTCAGAACATTGTCTGTAGTTGTGCTGACAAATTGCTTCAGCCTCGTCGCTACCATCACCGCAATCGTCGGTGAAATCGCAAAGCCATTGCCTGGGTATGCAACGTTTATTCTCGCAAGTGAAGTCAGTATCAGTGTTGCAAGTTGGACAGTTTTCTGGAAGTTCGTCAGACCCATCGCGACAGTCATCCTTCCCATCACAGAAGAGCCATTTCGGTATACATCTGTAGTTAGCTTGACCGGGACATCTTCTCCAGCCTGTAGTGCAGTTTCTCTGTCGACACATGTAAGCAGGTTCATCGGAGTCATCTCCACAATCATTATCAAAGTCGCACATCCAAAGTTTCGGTATGCAACGACCGTTCTTGCAAGAGAATTCCGTGTCGGGGTTACAAGGTCGGTTGTGACACATTGCTGGATCTTCATCGCTATTATCCTTGCAGTCTGTGTCTCCGTCGCATTTCCAGCTGTCTAAAATGCATCTGCCACTAGATTTACACTTGAATTCAAGAAGTGGGCACTCATGTGCGCACTCTGCTTCATCACTGCCATCCCCACAGTCGTCTGTGCCGTCACAAATAGTTGCGGCTGGCGTGCAGTTCGTGTTCTTACACTGGAAGGATCCTGCTCTGCAGTGCCTCACAGGACAAGTTTCAGGTTCATCAGAGCCATCCATACAATCTTTTTCACCGTCACATTTCCAGAACCATGGTATACATTTCTCGTCACGACCGTTGCATCTATGTTGGCCATTAGTGCAATTTGCTATACACGTCTTCATATCTCTAGCTAAGTAAAACTGGTTGGGACAGGCACATTTGTACGTAGTCGCACCTTCCTCGCCGTAGCCTAATATCTCTATATTCAAGTAGCTCGATTCGGGCGGTGGAGCAATGAGACAGAGATGTGAGCATCCTCCATTGTTAGTTCCGCAAGGATTAGGATAAGACAGTTGCCTCAGTGGGTGAACTACATGGATATCATATGGACGGTGCGTCGTATTTCTGAGAATCGTCAAGTTTTCACCCGAATGTTTATTGGCTTTACTTATTGCCTTCAAGTTCCAATCGGTCCAGTAAATTTCATCATCGAATAAACTAATGGCAAACACGTGGGGAACCTTAGTGCCTGATAGTACAACGTGCCTATGCTTTCCATTGAGATCGGCTGATCCAATGTAGTCCAGATGAGCATCAGCCCAGTAAATTCTGTCGGTAAAGTAGTCAATAGTCAAGGCATTAGGCCAAGCAATGTCGTCTTCCCAATTCAGTATGGTGGAAAAGTTGGAACCATCCATTCCCATTTTACCGATGAATGCTTGCAAGTGCCAAGACGTGAAATATAAATACCCAATACCAGGGTGAACCACAATAGCTCTAGGGTCAGCAATGCCAGTTTTCAATGTCTTTCTTCTTGTACCATCTAATTCGGAAACATCTAAATTCTTGGAATGTCGGTCGAGCCAGTATAGCTTTCTTCCGACCCAATCTATGGCAATGCCTTCTAGACCATGTGAGTCGTGTCTAATAACTACTTCTTTCGTTGGATTGGGATCGGCGTAATCAGATCTATAAATTGTTTTAGCAGACACATCAGCGAAGTACATCTTTTGCTCTTTGATATCGAAATCAATTGCCACAACGTTCATAAGGTCCTGATGGACCAGGTTGTAAAGCGACGCATCAGTGGACATGTTTCTCACGTAGTACTTATTAGTAAATATTACCCAAGCTGTGGTATTATCTTTCCTCTTGCAAGTGTGTTCATCGGCTTCCCTTTCATAATACTGTTCATTACATTTACAGTAGTACGAGCCCGGTGTATTTGAGCAGTACTGTGAGCACACTCCCGGTGTTTCAATACATTCGTCTATGTCAGCGCATGCTTTGCCGTCCGCTAGCAGCTTGTAGCCTTGATTGCAATCACAATAATAACCTGTTAATGTGTCGATACATTTATGTCCACATTGGTTAATCTCTAACTTGGCGCACTCGTCGACGTTACAATGTGCAGGTTCGTCTGAGTCGTCAGTGCAATCGGAGACTTTATTACAAACTAGTCTGTTATCGATGCACTGGTCGTTATTACACTTGAATTGCCCAGCGGGACAAGTTTTGTTCTCCTTAACACAGCCAACTTCATCGGAGTGGTCGCCACAGTCATCCTCGCCATCGCATCTGAAGTGGTTCCTGATACATTTGAAGTTCTGACATTTGAACTCGTTCTCCGTGCAAGTTTTGTATTGCGTATTGCAGTGTTTGCCCTCGTCAGATCCATCGCCACAATCATTGTCATGATCGCAAACCCAACCCTGATTGATACAACGTCCATTATTGCACTGGAATTGCTCTTCGGAACAAGGTGTAGGTGTAGCACAATGATGTAACGTAGAATTTTCGTCAGCGCCATCGATACAGTCAGGGTCACCGTCACACAGCCACTTCCGCGGGATGCACTGCGCGCGACCCCAGAATTTATTCTCCTCGCACGTATATTCGGTCTCGGCGTCACATTTGCGCTCATTACACTGATGTCTATCATCCTCGTCACTGTTATCTAGGCAATCATTGTCGCCATCGCAAATGTATATTCTCGGAATGCAGTTGCCGTTGTCGCAAGTAAACAGGTCACCGAAGCAGGTTCGACCTTCCGATTTACAGTATTCTGGTGGTTCGTCAGCTCCGTCACCGCAGTCGTCATCACCGTCGCAGTACCAGGTAGCAGGAATGCAACGGTGATTAGGGCAGCGGAAGCTATTCTGCGGACATGTCCTCTGCGCGCAATGTAATGGATCCTCGTCGGAGTTGTCACCGCAATCATTGTCTCCGTCACACAGCCAGTATGGTTCGACACAAATATTTGTCTTCTCGCACTTGAGGTGATTTGTTGGGCACGTTGTGTTCCTTGGACATCGTTCATGAGTCTCATCGGATGTAACGTTATCTTTACAGTCGTTGATGCCGTTACACACTTGGGTCATAGGTATACAGCGTGAGTTGAGGCAAGTGAATTCACCTTCAGCGCAAGGTGGATACACACAACCTTCTTCGTCCGATCCGTCCTTACAGTCATTCTCGTGATCACACTTCCATGACTTAAAGATACAGCGTCCATTGTTGCAGCGAAACTCGTTAGGAGAGCAAGAGTGGTAAGCACAATAGTTTTTATCTTCATCGGAATTATCGCCGCAGTCATCATCTCCGTCGCATGACCACATTCTGCTGATGCACTTTCCGTTGGCGCAAGCAAATTTGCTCGGATCGCACGTAATATTTTTAGCTACACACATCCTACCCTCATTGACTAACTTAGTGTTATCATCGCATTTGCACTCCACTGTATTTTTTGGTGCCGGGTGACAACTCTGCGCACAACCACCATTGTTGATTTGGCAAGGGTTCACTTGACATTTCTGCCTGCTGCGACTGTATATGTGAATGTCTCGCGGTGAGTCTTCCAGACGTTTGACCATTTCTATCATATGAGCTCCTGTGTGCTTTTCAGCTCGGTATACCCCCCGTAGTTGCAGGTCCGTCCAGTAGATATAATTTCCATAGACAGTAATAGCGAAGGGATAAATCGTTGCAGATATCAGGACTTCGCGGTCTGATCCGTCAAGTTTGGATCTTTCAATTTTTTCTCGAACAGCATCCGTCCAGTAAAGCATGTTTTCATCAAAATCAATAGTCAGACCGCTGGGCTGAGACAAATCTTTGTCTATGATCGCTTTCTTCAGCGAGCCAGCCATCGTCGTTCTGTATATTTTGCCAGATGTACCAAATCTACCCCAATCGGTGTAGTATAAAGTACCGTTACAGGGGTCAACAACAATGGCGCGAGGTCGTTCCACTCGTGCAATCATCACTAATTCAGTTCCATCGAGGTTCATGGCGTATATAGAGTTATTAGAGCTGTCGGTCCAGTAAATCTTTTTCTGTGTCCAGTCGTAAGAAATTCCCTCGGGATTGATACCTTTACTGATGATGTTATTTATGTTGGCAAAACTGGGATTATTAGACGGCATCCAAGCGATTTTCGGCCAAGGACGGATTTGAGTGAAGAACAATCTGTTGTCCGCATGGTCAAATTCAACTCCTACTACATTGGTCAAATTGCCGATAGGTTTGAATGGCACTCCAGTAGACTTAGGATCTAGATTAATAGCACGGATTTCCGTTCTTGTTGTAAATACAAGATATTCGTCCACTAGAACATCACATTTCTTAGGATTGAAACTGGAAACTTGCCCAGTGGCACAGTCGCATCGGTACGTAACGCCTTTATTTGAGTCTGGCGGATAACTGAAGCAGAGCTGGTCACAGCCTCCATTACCCAGCTTTCTGCACGGATTGGTTTCGTCTGTCGGTTGGTTGTTGATGTCGAAAATTACGATGTCTCTGAGCTTGGGTAGATTTGTTCTTAATTTTTCTGGCATTGTCGTGTTTCCCGGTAATTTAGATGCTTTATATATGGTTTGCAAATTTCTATCAACCCAGTAGACGCTAGTGGTATGTATGGCAATTCCCATAGGATTAGGCAGGTTCGACCTAATAAGCTGCCTGTTGCCTCCATTATACGAGATCTTCTGAATCTGGTCCAATTTTGAGTCAACCCAGTAAACATCGTGAGTCAACATATCAATAGTTAAATCTCTGGGATTTGATATTCCAGATGTAACCAGTGTTTGCCATTCGCTTCCGTCTAAATAGGCTTTTCCAATACGCGGATACTGCCCATAATCGATCCAGTACAGCAATCGCTTCAAAGGATTGACCGCGAGCTCACGTGGAGCGTCCATAGTCGTTTTCACGAGCACTTTTCGGTGAGACCCATCCAGCCAGCACATTTCCACGTAGTTCTCGTGTGGGAATACATTTGTGAAATATAGATTACCCGCAACCCAATCGATAGCTAAACCTCTAATACCATTGCTGCCTACGCCGTCCTTGACAATGTGCTGCAGCTCCGTGCCGTTCGGTCTGATACGGAATATTCCGTTCCATTGACCCCTGTTAAACTCAACCCAATAGATGTAGTTATCCGCGAAGTGGACATCTACGTGGAGGATGTGATGACCCTGACCCGTGACAGGGACCATCGCCTCGGCGCTGTTGTCCAAACTGTAGCCCCGGATGAGGTCTAGTTGGGACACCACGGCGAATGTCTTATATGGCACACAGTTGATTTCGTTCTCCTTCCGGTAGCCAATAGAGCAAGCGCACACTCTGGAGCCACTGTCACCAGGAATACAAATCTGTTCACAACCACCGTTGTTGGTGAGGCACGTATGATGCATCATTTTCCTCTTTTGGAATATTGTCATTGACTTTAAATCACTTTCGTTGTCGATGATTACTTTGATGTTATCACCATTGGGCAAGTCAGCTTTTATAATCTTTTCATGTCTGGGGTCCAGAACGTATAGGCGTGAGTCCAGCACCGAAATGACTTTCGGGTAGGAGATGCCATTTACTTCAGAGAGGACGGTCTTGCGGTCGTTGCCATCTGCATTGACGCTGCTCACGCTGGCGGGAAATTGCGTACTGTAGTAGATGACCTTTTTTTCGACGTCTATCGTAATGCCTTCTGGTCGCTCAATGTTGTCCACCAAAATAATTGCATTGGAGCCATCCATGTTTGCTTTACCTATCTTAGCTGGGACTCCATAGCCACCTTCATCAGACCAGTAAATTTTTCTGAAATTGAAATAAAAAAGTTGTTAATTATGATGCAAACACTGTGAAATATATTTGTTTAAGCATCGCTTCTCTAGGTAATAATTAAATTAACAGCACTAACCCATCAGTGGGGTCCAGGCAGATGCCTCTCGGCTTCGCAACGGAAGTTTTCTTGCCGTCGTTGGCAAGGATGATGGTTCTGTAGTTAATTTTGCCGTCGACGCGGACTATCTCGATATTGCTGGCGACACGGTTGGCCATGTACAGGTTTCTACCAAGCCAATCAAAGGCCAGCGCGGAAGGTGCACCGACGATGCCGGTGTCTTGTCCAAGGAACTCCTTACGAATTCCATCGCCACCGTACATGCTGTACACTGTACAGTTTTCGTCATCGTCGTTGTCGCCCGAAATCGATTGTAGCCAGAATAATAAATGTCCCGTGCGGTCGTACTCGAGTTGTACTGCACCTGTAACATATAGCAAAACAGACAGATATAATTTATTGGTAATATATTCAGTGGTGTTTGTTTTAAATGGGACAGTATGGAGGAATCCGAAACCATAGAATGTACAAGGAAACTGTCTTAGGAATCATGAAGCCTTTTTTTATAACAACTATTTTGGCACTGTACATTTTTTGGTCAAGCGTGCGTTGTCCATAAAAATGAATAAAATTGATCAAATTTTTTTCACGAAGGGATCATTTCATTGCATGCGACGAAAAAAAAATTGGGACAGCAGAAGTTGGCGAAATTTCATAACCTACCTTGAATACCGACTATGGGGGAAAGTTGACCAGATCTTCCTGACCCATCCAGAGACAAGTCCACGATCTGTGTACCCTTCAGTACCATGAGATAGGCGGTTTCCTCTGTAACAAGCAATGTAAGAAATTAAAATGAATAGCTACGTTAATACTTAATATAATTAAAAGCAATTGACCAACCTTCAATACATTTGCCGTCGGGCATGAGCTTGAATCCGGGCTTGCAACGGCATGAGTACGGAATTGAAGCGTTGGGACTCAGCAAGCAGAGGTGCTGGCAGGCGCTAGGAGTGCACGGATTCGAGTATTGCGGCTGCAGCGACGGGTGGTGCACGTGGATGGATAGCGGCTGGGAGATAAGGTGCGACACCACGGTCTGGTTTATGCCGCGGAACTTGTGCGCCGACAGCACGCGGTTCAGTTGCCGGTCGGTCCAATACAGCGTGTCTTCGAACAGCGTTAGAGAATGCGGGTGCAACAGGTAGTGGCTTCCCGCCAGCACCTGCTGCCGTCCCGAGCCGTTGTAGTTGCAGAAGTCTATAAAGTCCAGCTTGGAGTCGGCAAAGTACACTCGCTGCGTGGCCGTGTCGAGCGTCAGACCGTTGGGCCAATAGATCTTGGTGGTGATGATGGCCAGCCGCTGCGTGCCGTCCATCCCGACGCGCTCGATTCTCGGGTTCTCTCCCCAGTCGGTCCAGAAGAGCCAGCGCGCGGAGGGCGCCGGGTCCAGGCACATGCCTCGCGGCTGCGTGATGTTCCCGCTCAGCAGCGTCGTGCGCGCCTTGCCGTCCTCTTTGGCGACCTCGATGGTGTTCAGCTTGCTGTCCAGCCAGTACACGTTTCCTCCCACCCAGTCGTAGGCGAGGCCCTCGACGAGGTCCAGGCCCGTGGACACGATCACGGTCGGCTCGGTGCCTCGGTCCAGCCTGGAGATCTTCTTCAGTTTCATGTCGGACCAGAAGATGGTTCCGGTGTGCATGTTGGAGGCGGTGGCGACGACGTTCTCCACGTTGATGGGCACTCGCTCGAGGCCCTGCTCGTTGAGGTCGGCGACGAGGATGGAGTGGCGGTTGGAGATGATGAGGAAGGCGCTGGAGTGGTTGTCGGCCTTGCAGGAGTGCTTGTCGGCGCCCAGGCGGTAGCCGTCGACGCAGCCGCAGTGGTAGGACTTCTTGACGTTGGTGCAGAGCTGCGAGCAGGCGCCGGGCGGGTCGCACTCGTCCACGTCGCGGCACGTCAGCCCGTCGGCCTGCAGCTGCTCGCCCGCGGGGCACAGGCACAGCGGCCCGCCGGGCGTCTGGCGGCACTCGTTGGAGCACAGCCCCGACTGGTGCGCGCACTCGGCCGACTCGCAGCCCGGACCTGCAACGACCGCAGCTCAGACGCGCCGGGCTCGGCGGCTCGGCCGGACGCCCGCTACGCACCCTCGTCCGCGCCGTTGGGGCAGTCGTAGTTGTTGTCGCACACCCGGGTGAGGTTGACGCAGCGGTCGGTCACTCCCGGGCACTGCCACTGGCCGGACGGGCACCTGCAATTTCGCCCAAAACGCTTTTACGCAGGCCCTGACGCCAAGAAGCCGTCGTGCGGGCGGGTGCCAAGCGTTTACCGGAACGGCGGAGGTTTGCAAGCGTGTTCGAGTCCTTCGTCGGAGCCGTCGCCGCAGTCGTCGTTGCCGTCGCACACGTACGCCTTGAACACGCAGCGGCCGTTGGTGCACCGGAAGAAGTTCTGCGCGCATTGAACCGCGCCGCACGTAGACGGCTCGTCTGACAAGTCTTCGCAGTCGGGGGTACCTGATTCATTCATACCATATTAGTAATCTTATTCTAAAACTTCTTACTTAAATTTTACACCTGAGAACGCTCACCGTCACAATACCAAGTTTTGGGAATACAGATGCCGGAAGATCGGCATTGGAATTGTTTATCGGGCTGACATTGATGTGGCGCCAAGGAAGGGCAGCCCGCTTCGTCACTGCCGTCGTTGCAGTCTGGGATACCGTCGCATTTGTACGCCTCCTGCAGAAAAATATACAAAATTGTAGAATCACAATAAACATCAATCGCTGAAGGGGTAGATAATTAGAAAAGTACGAGTGAGCTTACCTGGACACACTGCTTAAGGTCAGCGCACTTGAACTGAGAAGCGAGACATGAGACCGGTGGACAGTCGGCTTCATCTTGTTTGTCAAAGCAGTCGTCATCTCCGTCGCACACCCACGACGCCGGTATGCAATGTCCGGTTCGCGGACATGTAAACTAAAAAGACGAACACAATTAATACGAGTATGTGTATATAAGTCATACAACGCAGTTCAGGTGGTGTTTACAAACCTGGAAGTAAGCGCAGGTTTTTTCTGCACAATGAGTTCCCTCATCCGAACCATCACCGCAATCGTTCTCCGAGTCGCATCTCCACGTGTTAGGCACACATCGGCCATTATCGCACTGGAATTGTGTGGAGCTGCAGGTCACATTGACACAGCCGGTCTCGTCCGAGAAGTCACCGCAGTCATTTTCCGAGTCACACACGAATGTCGCGGGAATACAGCGGCCTGACTTACACATGAACTCTGCTGCACTGCAAGTTGTCTCTGGATAGAAAACGCGAAGATTGATTTACACATTAAAACACAAAACTGCATTTGGATCAAATACGAAATTAACTTAAGATTTTTGGTTAACTAACTTGTACAATTTTGTTCTTCGTCGCTGTTGTCCAAACAATCGTCGTCGCCGTCACAGACCCAGCTCTTCGGGATGCAGCGTTGGTTATTGCAGGTGAAGTCCCATGAGTTTGGGCACGCCTGTACCGGAGGCTCAGAACTTGGATCCGCTATACAACTCGTGCCGTCTGGTCCCAACTTTTCACCGTAAGGGCATCCGCATTTCACCGTCAACAACTCCGTGTTGTTCCTCGGTACAGCAAAACATAATTTTTGACAGTTTCCATTGTTTCTTGCACATGGCTGCATCGGGTCTATCTTCTGCACCTCGTTGCTATAGACTTTGACGCCATAAAGTCGGTTGGTCTGAGGTTCCCTCACCATGATGTCTTCTTGTTCTCCGGTCAACTTGTGCAGTCTCACTATGGCATCCAGTCTCCAGTCGGTGATATACATGAATTCCTTATGAATAACAATAGAGAACGGATGTCTTATTAACCTAGAGTTGACAGTCTTTACATCGGTACCGTCTAGTTTGGCGTGTTGCACGTGGTCCAGAAGTGCGTCACACCAATACACTCTGTCGGCCTCGAAGTCTATTGAAAGCCCGTTCGGCCAACCGAGAGTAACGTTTTCAAAAACAAGCAGTCCACTGCCATCAGTGTTTGCTCTGCTGATATTTGCAGGACGATCCCACTCCGAGAAGAAAATGTATCCCTTATTGGGATGAACGACGATAGCTCGGGGCCTCTTTAAATCTTTTAATAACGTTCTCTTATACGCTATATTCCTTGTTGATAACACGTTTAACGTTCCTTTCCTAGAATCGATATAATACAAGTTTTTCGAAGCCCAGTCGACGGCTAAGCCCTCGACTCCCTCATTTTGTGACGCTAACACTATTTCGCGCGTGGTGCCGTTTCTGTGCACCCTGTAGATAACGTCTTGAAGAACATCTGAGTAATATATATGTTCGTCCCGCGAGTCGAAATCCAAACCTACGAACCTAGCCCGCCTCGACACTACTGGTAATATGGCATCACTGAAACCTTCTATGACAGGGTTCAGAACTTTTCCTTTAATAAACCTCTGCTGGGAATACATAAGGAACTCCTTAATTAGATCACAGTTTCTGAGATCGGTCTCGAGGCGGTAGCCGATGTTGCATGCACAGCGATAGCCAAGCCCGCCGTTCTGCAGTGCGGTCACGATGCACATCTGCGAGCAGCCGCCGTTGTTGTTTCCGCACGGGTTGTTCACCGAAGTCTGCTTCAGCGAGTGTATCACAGTAATGGCTTTGGGATCTCTGATGTCCTTCATTTTGTAGATGGCTTGTATGCTAGTCGAACCCTCGTACTTGTTGACGGAGCTGATGCCTTGCTTGGTGCTGTCCGACCAGTACACCCGGTCCTCGAACAGGGCCAGTCTCGAAGGACTGGGGACCTGCTGTCCTCTCAACACCAAGAACCTGTGATTGCCATCGTAATCGACAGTTTCGATGTAGTCAAGCAGCGAATCGCACCAAAATACTCTTCGAGCGATAATGTCCACGGCTATGCCGGACGCCTTGTAGGCGGCTTCGGAGACGATGGATTTTGTATGAGTACCGTCCATGTTTGCCCTGATGATCTGAAAACGTTATATTGTAATTGTTAATATCGTGTCCTTTCCAAACGAACATTCGACACCGACGGAACTTTGGCTCACTTGGCTGCTGTCGGCGACGAACATGAGGCCGAGGGTGGGATCGAGCGCGAGGTCTGCAGGGTTGGTGAGGTTGGAGCCGAGCACGACGGCGTGCCAACGGCCGTCCAGCTCGAACACGTCGATCTTCTGCCCCACGGCGTCCGCCACGTACAGCTTGTCGCCCACCCAGTCCACGGCCAGCGCCACCGGCGCCCACGAGCCCGCGATCGAAATGTCGTTGCTCGTGTAGCTCGGCAGCCCGGCGGGCACGCTCAGCTGCTGGGAGTGAATCTGGAACACGAGGGCTCCGCGGTCAGCTGTCCGTCTAGTGCCGAGCGGTACGGAAGGCATGGAGACGAACAGGGCCACCGACCTTCCTGGTCTTGAGATCGGACCAGAAGAGCAGGTTCTTCTTGTAGTGGAAGTCGAGCCCCGCGGCCTGCGTGGCGTTGGCCAGCGGCGCGGGCGCGCGGCCGTGCAGGTCCATGCGCAGCACGGCGCGCTCGTGCGCCAGCAGCAGCTGCGGCGCCGCCTCCGCGCCCGCCGCGCAGCGCTTGCCGTCCACCAGCGCGTAGCCCGGCGCGCACGCGCACTTGTACGCTGCGGGACACAGCCGGTCAGACCGCGAGCCCCGGCCCGCTTCGGGGGGCGAAGCTAGCGAGCGAGTACTGACACCCGGGCGTGTTGACGCACAGCTGGTGGCAGTAGCCCCAGTCCTTGCACTCGTCGCGGTCGGTGCAGGAGCGGTTGTCCGCGGCCAGCGCCAGCCCCGCGGCGCAGGCGCACGCGCCGCCGCTGGGCGACGCCACGCACTTGTACTCGCACTCCAGCGCCGGACACGACGCCGTCGCTGCAAGTGTTGCAACAGTAGTCATAGTTATTGCTTCTCTAAAAGTGCATTGTGGACGCGTTTGCGTGCTGGCTGACTAGGCCGCCGTCGCGCAAAGTTTATTGTACGCGAACGTTATCTCTACATTTACCTACTATTACAGGTCTTTCTTAAAGCAATGGAAACAACTGAATGAAAATCAAATTACTCAAGACCTAATAATTGTGTAACAAAAACAAAATACAATTACACTCACAGTTTCTCATAAATTTATCTGAAATTGGGTAAAAATAATCTAATTACCTAATTCGAAGTACCATGTCACTTATTTTCACTTTATCGTTATAAAAAGATACATAGTAATTCAAGCACATGAAATAGATATTTGCATAAGAATTTACAAAATTGGTTAACCATCAACATTTTAAAGGACTTACAGCAAGCTGCCTCCTCGTCAGCATTATCCTCACAGTCTTTTTTGCCGTCGCAGAGCTGCGACCTGGCTATGCACTTGTGGGTTCCTCCGGGGCCGCCTTTAGGGCACAGGTACTTGTTGTCGGGACAGGCGATGGCCGTGCAGTTAGCCTCGTCCGACCCGTCTGTGCAATCTTTATACCCGTCGCAGTGGTACGTAGCCGGGATGCACAGGTAGTTGCTGCACGTGAACTGACCGATGTGGCACGGAGGGAAATCTAACATACAAGTAAAAAGTTATGACGATCTTAGCCATTGGTCTATCATCGCCGGAAGACGCCTGTCTTGCCTTAATGTACTCGTATGTAATAATTTGATACATAACAAAATTAGAAAACCTAACACACAGCTACTTTTAGAAACGCGTCTGCAGCAATGCAGTAGCGATTCAGTCGCGATGCAAAGTTTTGAAATATGTGCTCAGTCAGTCACACACAGCGCGATGAGATCGATTGAAGTTGAAACTTTCAAAAACGAATACGGCAAGTTTGTCATTTATGGACCGAGCGACTTCTTCCCGACCAAGGCCTGCAAAGTAAGTAGGAAGGCATGAAAAAATTACTGTTCGCAATTTCGTTCGAAATCTATTTACTAACAATAAATTTTGCAAACAGACAAAAGAAAATCTCATGCAGCCAACTGCCCAATGCTCGTAATTGCGAGAATCAAAATACCTATCTATACCGCTTACTTTTTTTTTTAAAAGAAAAAGGCGGTAAATAACTTTTTCTTCTAACAATAGCCCTAACATGTCAAATATTACTTTTAATATTATAATAATAATTTTTACTTTTTCTATTACATATGTTCCTTTCTTTTGTCTATTATTATTTCCTCGCATTGTTTGAGAAAAGCTCTATACAGTCCTCGGCGGAACGGGGATTGCTTGACTCGTATTAACGTAAAGCAAGCCTAAGAGCTTCCCGGCCTCTGCAATAATGTACTAATTCATATTCAACATTTCAAGAACTTCTTATTACTCTCATTTGTAAAAAAATTCTTAACTTCATAGAAATTTTTAGTTATTTTGTGATTCTATACTTACTATTTCCGCAATGCCTTTGAAATTAAATTAACTTTCAATTGGAAAAGTAATGGTATGTGGCGTTGGGACATAAAGAATTGTTTAGCACAGTTTATGGTTTATATACTTTTTATATCTAAAACATGAAACATTTAAGTACCTGCGCCGCTCGCAACAGTAGACAAGAAGAAGAAGAAGAAATGTAGTGTCGAGTTCTTAGGTTTTCGCGATTGTTACACATAGGAAATAAAACTATTTTTCCGGATTTAAATCGCGTATATTTGTTTTTTCAAACAAACCGACGTTTCGGGCCCTTTACAGGTCCCATGGTCACGGTTGACTCGGTTTTCACGGTTTCACGGTTTGTTTGAAAAAACAAATATACGCGATTTAAATCCGGAAAAATAGTTTCATTTCCTAAGAAATGTAGTGGTAAAATTTAATTTTCAAATCCTAACATAAACCTATAACAAGCGTACATTTATTATGGCATTGGAGTCTCCCGTCTGCGCCATTTTGTTGCGATGCACACGCGTATCTGCATCGATTCAACGACTCGTTTGCATCGATATAGACGCATGTTTTTAATAATTCGACGTAAGGGACTGACGCGTTTGCATCGATGCAACCACCTTTAAATAGCTCGCATTTGTATCGCTTTTAAAAGTCTCCGTGTCTAGGGCTATTTTACACATTGTTAAGCACCTACGAAAACCTAACCAGGCTCGGAACTACTTAGATACTTCGACAAGTAGATAGTGGTTAAAGCTTAATTTTACAATTACCACCTGGTTCGAATACTCGGTATAAAAGATTTTCTTGAATGTAAAGCTCCACTATCTTATTACAATGCGAGCAGCAAATACTGACTGCAATTTGCTTCGTCAGAGTTGTCACCACAGTCGTCGCGGTGGTCGCACTTGGCGGAGGTGTCGACGCACTTGTCGCCCGACGCGCAGCGGAACTGGTCCAGCCGGCACGCCAACGACTCGCCCGGGCAGTTCTGCTCGTCCTTGCCCGTCCTACAGTCTAGATACCTAAACACACATTTTTTTCTGTAATATGAACACTACATAATGTATTATTATTATTATTATTATACTATTTCGAAAAAGATCCACGATAAACCACGAGAAATGAAAAATACTAATTATGAAGGGCGGTTTGAAATACTTGTCAGTATCGAGTGATACGTGAAATTAAGATTTCCATATTCAAATTAAATTTACATAAGAAAACATCGGCAACTTACCCGTCACATCTTTTTTCCTTTGGTATACACGGTCCCTGTGAGGAGACCTTGCCGGGTCCCGCGCCCTCTACGCCGCACTTGAAGTCATCTGGCTGGCATTTGCGGTACGCTAAAACAAAATATCCCTATTACACTAACGCAGATACATTGTACCTGTAGCTTTATAAGAAAATCATCGCCATGAGTCTATTGGGGAATAGGCAGGCTTGTTTATAAGTAAGAAGCCCATAATCAGCAAATAACTACAGCTTCATATACAGGGTATCAGGTTGAACGTGATAAATATTTAAAGAGGCAAACGAGTAGCTGATAACTAATCCGAATACGTAAAAGGAAACGCCCCTAAATATAAGAAATACAAAAATATCGTGCCATTTTACAAATGCTAACACCATCGAGTATATAACCAGAAATGACACAATGTCATTTAATTTGCTTGAAAACTGTTCTGCCATATCATTACTGTGACAACTGCGCTCCGATTGGCTAGCCCGAGTTCGAAATAATTGACGGGTGTCGACAATTGTGTCTTCAACTGTTTTACTTCAAATCGACCAGTTAACTTGAGTTTAGCTATAATGGACGAAAATTGCAAAATTACATATTTAATATTTAATTACCGAAACAGAACAGCTAAGCGGTAGGAAATTGAACTTCCGCGTGTCAAGCAATCCTACTTAACTAGTACTATCCCTTCATACCTTGCTTAGAACAGACAAAATTCAATCCTTACATCAATGTATATATAGTGAAGCACGCCGACTAAGGAACGTTTCTCAGTACAGGACCTTACCACGATTAATAACTTCATTTGCACAACATACCATAACGTAACATCGCATCATGTGCCAATACTAATAAGGCGTCGTTTTGAACGTCGCTGCACTCCACTGAACTACACAGGCTACACTAGTGACACAATACACGCAAACCAAATACGCGACGTCCCGTTTGACATAAGAACACAAACGATAGCGAACTAACCGGACTAACGTGGATATGTCTACACTATATAAAACATAATATTTTGTGAGAAACAGACAGCAAAAAAAAACATTATAAATCAGAATTATTCTACTCATAATAGATTAACAGTGATTAGCGCAGATTAGACGAGATAGTTCATGGAACCGACGCGCCCTATCCGCAGAAGAACACTGGCAACTCGGGAAGTCGTGATTGAACTCCATACGTCCCTTCCTTCCATGAACCATGGATTCTCATTGGAAGCTATGGCTTTTGTCGTTGTGATCTACTGACAACCGTCATAGATCATTAGTGCATATCTTAGTTCGATTTTAATTGACTATCCCATGTTAATCTTCACATAAGCACGCAAGCAGGAAATACCTCGAATACTGACCATATCAATTAAATTTAAACTGAATAGAAGTTAATACAAAGAAATAATTATGTTTCATCATAGACCCTATGATGTTGTGCCTAGACGCGAGACAACACAAGCAGTTTTATGAAAACTTATTCGTTGCAGAAGATAAAGCACAAAGGAATTATGCGGTTTGCAAACACTCATAACAGGACGCTTGTGAACGCCGGAGGGTGATGTTTTTCTACACAATGTGGGCGGCAGAGGCGCGAGGCGCGGTGCAGGCCCGTGCGCCGAAGATAATGCGATTTGCACAACGGCGGCCACGGACGGAGCCTTTGAACCTCAAGGACGCTTCATACGAAAGCCGGAAGTTAACCTACCACCGCTTTGTACTGCACTTCGAGTATGTTAAGAAAAGGTCTTTTTTAAATTTCCCAGCGTAACACGAACTTGATCAAAGAAAAATGAACTGCCACGACGTTTTGCTAACCCCCGGCGGGGTCGGATACTGCCTGAGCTCGTGGCCCCGTTAGGCTAGCGCTCGTTCCAGGTTTTAAGTTCCGCTGCCTTGTGACTACAGATAATATATGAAAAATCTGGTAACTTTATTTTCGGAAAAAGAAATAAAATATTTGCACCGCAGCTATGTTGACAAACTGATGACGAGAACTAAATAGAATAACAACTAGCTGCAACGAAAATGTTGTCCATAAAGCGTTTCTGGGAAATAACCCAAATTAACAGATTCATCACGACTTGGTAACGAATAAACATGCTATTGTTCGTAAGGGTCTAACGAAGGGACAGTTATCAATGAATAACTCTAGTAGGGCAGTCGTCTGAGGTCCGCTGACCCGGAAACACCCGCTGGCGCCGACTCGGCTGATTTGCAAACTAACCTTTATTAATACATTAATACGGCGTGCCACAATGCTTGCTCGCTTTATATACCTAATAGTTAAGTAGGTACAATCAAAATAAGAACTTGCTCTGTCGACTATTTCTTTAATTTTGATGTCCTCCAAGTAGTACAAAAATCAAAGAGTAATTTGCATGCGTAGCACAGGTGCATATTTTAGGTATTACATATTCCGTTTTAAGAGCCAGGTTTAATGCATGCTTTTTTCTAGCACCTTTTCGGAGAAGATTAAAAACAAATTTAATTTAAAAATATCTAAAGATGTAAGTACTAATAAGTCAGTTTTTCTTCTCACTCATAGAAACTTTAGATGAAATGGGAATGCCCTCATTCACTATTTAGTACGGGAGGTTTAGGTTTCATTTCACAGACTTAGAGATCTGAATAGAGTGGTTGTTGTGAAAGATCAGTGGCCGCAAAATTGAGTCAATTCGGCGGAATCGTCCGCCTCACCTCCGATATAGTGCCAGGCATGCTTTGTGTAGTTTTGTGTCAAAGGATTAGGTTGCGGTGAACGATCCGTCTATGTACGTGCTCAAGTAACGAGCAATATTGCGACCGATTCAGTAACCTACAGTGATAATTTGTATGCGACGAAATATACACCATCAATTTGCTTGGTTTTATCTGTATTGAGCATTGTATTGAAATGCTTACGATATCGTGTTTCTAAATGAACAAAGACGTCGGAGTTAATTGGAGCAATAACCATATTTTAACAAGCGCTTGTGAAATGCTCTGAAAATTTCAACAAGCTCATCTAAGGAGCGTATCTCGGCCCACCTCGTTTAGTTCGTTGGTTAATATGGTTGATTCGGTGCTCGCTAAATTATGGCGCGTCAGGGCGAAGGAGTATAATACAAATTATATGACTTGTTGTTTGTTACCTGATTACATAAATAAAAATTAAGAAGTAATGTCTAATTGTCACGAAAGTGACGTCTATGTGTTTCTTTCGTGACGTCATGACATATAATGTATTTCCTCTGCTAATACCGCAAACTTGAGTAAGAATACAATAATTGCGGTCTATTAAAAGTTTTCACGTGCGGGAAGTTTGAGTGCCCAAGTTGGACGGTTATTCTTGGCGACGGCGGTTTCCCAGGAAAATGCAGATGTAAGAAGGTTTTATCGGCGAAAGTTCGCGTCGCGCCACAGGTGAAATAAGTCAACCGAGAAGGAAATAAACGTAACATTCGGATGAATTGTTGCGCGTCCATGTCTTCGTTCTGTCTTGTTTCCAGCGGAAATGATTTGGCTTATATTTCGATTCCCATGAGTAATGAGTTTATTCCGGTTATGTTTACAGGAGTTTTCATTTACCACAATTCCCGCATGTATAGGTAATTGAACTTAGTTTACATTCTGATACGATAAACCCACTGTTAGATAAATATCATCAAAAAGTCATATATGTAGGGCTAGCACGACAGGGCGCGACTAGCGCGAGAGCGACATAAAGCGCGACATACTCCGTGCGAGAATAGCAGTATCTCGCGCTTTATGTCGCTCTCGCGCAAGTCGCGCCCTGTCGTGCTAGCCCTACTGAAGCTATTATAAGCTCTCGTGAACTTTCATACACATAGATTACGAAAATAAACAAAACAGAGAAACTTTTTCACATCAATAGAACATATTCTTTAAAAGTTAGAGCAAAAATAAAAGTGCAATCTCTACCGCGTCCGCGCCGCGTCTACAACGGATTTACGTGGAAACAGCACATCGCCGCGCCGATACGAGCGACAAACAAAAACGCAATTTCCACACCATTAAAACTTGCCCACTTGTTAGAACTTTCCACATTACCCACCAATTTATTTAGAGCTCCATTTTCAAGGGGCTCACCGGCTTCTCGGCCGCGCAGCGGCATCGTCGAGAGGCATGGGAGGTCGAATGGAGCTGGTGAGTTGCAGCGAGTCCTCTTTTAAAAGAAATAGGCAGTATTTTGGTGGAGAGACTTTAAAAGCGGTAATGAGTACAACGGAAAGTAGACGCAAAGAGTATGCCATCGGCAGGTGTTCGGTGTGTTTTATGTCATCTATTGTCAACGGCGAAAGCCCGATTTCAAAGGTAGATAGATAACTAGTAGTAACTTTCCTACAGCAGCATGATTTTATTGCTCCTTGCCTTATTTTATATCGATTTCATTCTCTCATTTGATTAAAACCACTGATCCGTCGGCAGAAGCCCTCGAATCTTATAATGCCAGTCGGAGGATTCCCTTAAGCGGCCATCACATGCATCTGCTACAAACGAGGGTTTGACTCGAGAACGATCCCTGAGGCGACATCAATAACTTTAGTGATTTCATTTAGAATGGCTCTGATTTGCGATTTTACATGGATTTATTGTTAAAGTACTTTCTCCTATTTGTAAATTTAGTTTGTAGTGCTCTATCTATTGTAGGGCTCGACTTACGAAACCCAAAATGGTTTATGCAATTACTACCCGCTACAATATACACCACATTATACCACTCATCGTCAATACACACAAGTTGATATAAGAAGGTCGGGGATATGGGTTAGCATATTGACGAGAACCAGTCAAAACTTTTAATGCGCTCTGCTTCGGCGGTGGCGGTGTTCAATGGTTCAACGCGCTTACGGCTTACCGTCTATCACTCCTTACTATACTTTAACTTACTGATAGATAAATAAATACATTTGCTGATCTGTACTCACTGAACTTATTGCGATATTTCTACAAAATCGTTATCTTCATTATTAAATACAATTAATTTATCCATTTCATAACTTAACAAATTACATGTGAAATAGTCAATTTACAACCTAAGGTTCAGCACTAGGCTTCGTCAACATATATACTAAAATTTTACAAGAGATTAGGTCAAATATTTCTAATCTAAAAGTAGTTATTTGTTATGCAAGATTGCAAAGTTGTTGTTTGACGCGTGTGCACAAGCACATTATAACCTGAGTAAGCGAAAGAAGCTAAGATTGAAAAAAATAGATTCCTGAGCGTGGCGAGGGTTTCAAGGCACGAGACGCAAAACAACTTTTCTGCCGAGCGAAACACACAACTTTTCACTTCACTATAACGAGGAAAATGGTAAACATTTGAATAAAACATCAATTTATTTAATTAAAAGAAAAATTTTATCTTCGAATGCGTTCTGAATTTACACCTCATCAATTTTTATTCTTACTTGCAGGTACTTTCATTTTGTGTGATTAAATGAAAATTGAAATTATTTTGGTTCTTCGACGAATTAAAATAATTTAATAAACACAATTAGTTATCATTGTTTTGTCAAATTTAATGTCAACAATAATAAGATTAAATAAACTATTATATTACATAAATAAGTAATTACGATAAATCGCGTATTGACCGTGTCATTATCTTTTTCTTATCGAAAGACAAGATTCGCGCAGATTTCTAATGAGAAAGAAAGCCTTTCCTAGCTAGTGAGGTGACAACAAAATTGTATTGTTTTGTCTTTAAAGTTGTACCTACATGAATGTGTGCTGTTGCGATACACTTATAACCACAGTGTTTAATCCTTCTAATTACGAAGTTGTGAACATCATATCACCTTAATAAACTGAAGAAATTCGAAAAGTAATTTTAAGGAAACTGATAAAATTAGTACAAAATATGTAGGTACGCGACCGTATCGTATAGGCATGTGCATGGGTTGATACCCAAATATGACAAAAATTCTATTTGATATAAAAAACGATATATTTTATTTCGTCCAACTTTTTTTGTTTATAGTGTCGTTTCCCAAAAATGTTACTTTTCGAATTTCGTCACTTTATTATCGAGGGTGCGGCATGTATTTATGATAGATGTGAAGTTTCCGTACAAGTATTCTCATTTAATTGTCCCGAGTGTAACCGAAAAACGTTTGATAAAGCGGAGTTTATGCGTGAACCTGAGCGTCCGTCAGTCCGATTGAACGGAACACACTGAAAGGGTTCAGAAAAATCAATGCGATGCATTTCCGTCAAACTAGACATCTGGTCCTCGCAATGAACAACATTAACTGCATGCGGAGGTTTTAAGTTAAGCCGGGTGTACACTTACTGCACTCCGCTTCGTCGGTGCCGTCGACGCAGTCCACGTGCATGTCGCAGCGGTAGTGCGGCGGGATACAATACGTTTTGTTCCACACGTACTGGCCGCACGTCAACTGTCCAGCCTCGCACTCCGGTGGCGCTGAAAACACACATTTAACAGGTTATTAATAAAAGATGGACTGGGTTACAAAAGGAGATGCAATGATACGTCATTGTTACGACAAATACAGACAAAAATAATATCGTGATATACGACCCGAAAAACACAGTGGTACCTTATTAATCTACGTGGTTTATAAAAAAGCATTAACAAAAGATTAGATAGCAAAAGTCAAACATTGAGTGGGACAACAGTATGAACCTTTTGCTAAATCACGCTCGCTAGAGTTTTCGAAAACTTTTCGGACAGGAGTAAACACTTTCAATAGCGAGCAAAGGTCGATCTGAAATCCCTTGTAAACACTTGAAGCACAAATAAACGCGGGTTGGAATCAATCTGGTGGTCATTAACGCAAAGAAACGGGTGCAATCAGCGGCTATCAATCAACGCGGTGGCGAGGGCTCTCGAGGGAAGTCGACGGCGGCCGTGCAAAATGGACCACGACAAGTGTGTGTCCATCTCGAGCTAACTTCGTTTTACAAGACACACCACTGAACAACGAATACTTAAATCTTCGGTAATCTAACAGTTTCACTAAAATTAACTAATGATTCGTAATAATCCCTCTGCACATAAATCGAACTGTTACTCTCAATCATCGAGTATATAAACAGAAATAGAAATAAGGGCCATCCATCCCTGGCAACTCATTAGGCCTACGGACGTTATATCACTTTTAAATATCAACTCTCGTTTGCACTGAAATCACAAATTAGAAAGCTGAAATAGTACAGCGCCAACAACTGACCTGTGTGTACGTCTCCGTATAATCCAAAAATATTCTGTATTTATTGTAATAAAAATAATATCTTTAACTGTGGGGGGGCTGTTCCGTTCAGTGGTGTGGGCAAAACCAGCAAAACATCTAATTACAAAACAAACGGAGTCACATTTCTTCGGTAATTAAATATGAAATAGTGATGTAATTTTTTAAGTTTCATCCATTATAGCAAAGCTCAAGTCAAAGCGGTCGATTTGAAGTGAAGCAATTGACGAGACCCGTCAATTGTTTCGAATTCGGGTTGGCCAATCGGAGCGCAGTTATTATCGTATTGATTTAGCAGAATAGTTTACAAACAAATTAAATGACATGTCGTCTCTATTTCTGGTTATATATTCGATGCTCTCAACACAATGTTCTTGTTTCATGACACATATATATACTATATATATATATATATATATAGAGCGGTCTTGGTTCTTTGCGCACGTGTTTAAAATGAGCGTATTATTAACTTTATCATTATTTATACACCAATTGAGGGAGATAAGCTTTGATACATGTGGATTATGATTTCCGATGATGTTATAAGTAATTCAAAAATTCAAATTCAAATATATTTATTTCAGATAAAAATCCATATAGTGTTATAAACAGAATAACTGAAGATCTAGTGTTAGTATTAATTAATTTGATATAATTTAAATAATTTAAATTTAATATTGCAGCATTGGCTGAACTTGGCCTATGGATGATGAGGACAATGATAATTTCGGAAACAAGTTTTAAAATTTTGGAGCTTTACCGAATGTAAAGCATAATATTTTATTTTTAACCGACTTGAAAAAAGGAAGAGGTTCTGAATTCGACTGTATGTATCTTTTTTTATGTACTTATGTTACGTGATAACTCCGGCTTTTGATGATTATTTTTTGTTGGAAAAAGGGTACCTCAGCAGTGGTCCCATTTATTTTATTTTATTTATTTGAAGAAAATATTCCACCTCTAAGGGTGGCAAACTAGGGGATGAATCCGGTTTCGCGCACTTTCCGGTAACCGATTTTAATAAAACTTGGCAAATATATGTAATTCCACAAACTTTTGGGTCGGTTTTTAGTACTCTGTAATGAGATTATAATTTTTAATTTCTTATCTTGTAATAGTGCAATTTTGCGTAAAATTAAAATTTATTCATGTCTATGGTCCTTGTCTGTTTGTTTAAGGGCTTACTAATAACTTGGCCTAAAATGAAACCCTTCCGTTTTTGCAACCCCTAGATGCTGCCCACCATGAATGTGTTTCCTTTCAGACCCTTTCCAACTTTTACATTTTATTTACCCTACTGAAATGTCCTAAAAGAGGACCGCTATCTACAATTAAGGACATAACTGGAACAATCCTCAGATGATGCAAGTGCAAATATGTAATAACAGGGTTTTCGTGCGGTTGCCTCGCGAAACTAGTTTACATGTGAAGAGATCACCTCGCATCTTCTGTTGGCGTCTCATTTCAGAGTCGTTTATGCTGTGTTGAGTTTTACATTTACGATTCTAAACTTGCTTCACGTGACCGTGTGCTCCTCTAGTTGCTGGAACTTACTTCTCAAGCGCCGAAAGTACTTTTAGATTTAAAGGCTTTTTGTATTTATTTACGATCGGAGGTAAATTTAACAACCAGTTTGGTTGTGTACTTTCTTACTTTTATTATTTGTGAATGCGATGTTTCGTATGTATTTCAAGTTTTGAAATTGATGACAAATTATAAGTTTAAAGTACAAATAATGGCAGAATAATAAAAAGTGTAGCATAAATTCTCATTATCTGTTAGCTGGTAGCATAGAAGTATGCAGAAGAAATGCATAGTGACAAATGTCAAGGCGATTTTTCGCACCTAGTCGCGAGAGTCCTCGACCGCGGCGGAGGATCTGCATTTACAGTAGAAAAGTTAGATACGGATCTGAATTTTAAATTTGATCCAGCTGTGTGACACTTTAAAAATTAAGCGATCGCACATACCTACTAGTGTATACTGATAAGTATAAAGTTTATCTTCTATAAAGCATAATATGCGACCTTAGTTGGCAATTCCTTGGCTCCCATAAATAATTACATGGTGTTCTTTGTATAATTTTCAAATTGTGCTCCAGCATCCCAAATAACGCATGGAGAAAAATTGGCTCAGTGTTGTCACATGTCGAGTGTTTCCCCATCCAGCTTGATCCACGGCTAATAGAATCAGGTAAGCAGTCAGGAGAGTGTGGAGGTGCACTCAACGCTGACAGCTGCCTCTTGTCACTTTATACTCGATTACAGCAAACTCAGTAAAGGTAATTTGAGCAATATATATACGCATGCCCTAAATGGAGCCTAAGCCTTCATTGATTTCGATATGTGTGGCATTATACAAAAGATTACATAGAACTATTTTTGAAACATCACAATTTCTAAGTCAAAGGCTTCGTAAACACTTTCGGTAAATTTTTCGTTGTAATCGGGTTTAGTTTTAGCGTTTATTTTGAAGTACAGAGACATGAGAACGTAAGCTTAATACTTAAGATTTTAATTCAACTTAATGCCGCTTACAATAAGAACGGTCCGGAGTCCAAAGTGTCAAACTTGACGTGAAGTTGACTGTACAGTGTTTATAGTATGTATGTAGGAGACAATTATCACTTCAGACATAGTGTAATGGAAATCGGTTCAATTGTTTATGTAATGTGGTTTACGAAAGGTTATCCTACGTTGCTATATGAAAATAAGGAGTAAAAGATGGTCATCGCTTCATAAAACGAGCGCCCAATTGACTAGACGGGCTTCTCGTGTGAGTTACTCGGAAAGCGAACAAGTGCTGCCACTTTCTGCAAACTTGCCGCCTGACATTTAAAATCCGTTCTAACCTCATAATTAATCTTTTGCATTCGAAATAATTGCTGTGAATGTGTGTGGGGATAAGCGAATTAATTGTAATGTCAGTACATTATTTACGTTATTATTTCATCGCCGGCTTAACGAATTGACAATGAAAAGTGAACAGGCCAATTATCAAGTAATTCCTGACAAAATCAGTGGTTAAGGGTGTTTCACCCAACGTCGCGCTTTCGGTCATATTCCGACATGCATAATGTTACAACGTGTCTTGTTATATTTTGAAATTTCCTTTTCTCTTTTCTTTTTCATAGTTCTGCACATTTGCGTGCGCAAAACTTTACAATTGAATATTTTTCCCATACCTAAACTTAACCACCATGTTTTTGTTGTGAATTTTGACCTCAATTATCTTAGGTCCCAGATTGAAATTCACAATTTGGGCTTCGTCGCGACTTGCAGAATTGTATTTTTATGCTAGTTTCAAATTCCATGCATATCGATTGAAGACCAGTCGAGTAATTTCGTTCGTAGATTGTACGATTTGAGTGGATGCCAAGAAAGCTTAATAATTTATTTTTTTATTTTCTATTGAAGAACCTACTTCACTTTCAAGCAACAACAAAATGTATTCTGGTGATTCAGCAGCCATTCCTTATATTCATGTATAATGTTACAACTGCAGCAAACCTAAAAAATACATGCGGCAAGTCAAAAGCTGCCTCTAAACGAGGAGTCGATGAACTTTACACTGGGACAAGGTATCGTACGAGTGCAGCCCTCCACTTTATCATTCCAAACCAGTGTATTTCTTAAATAGGCGGGCGAAACCTTCCCTTAAAGAAAACACAAGTAACAATTCGTTTTAACATTAGCATGTTCCCCATATTCAAAATATTATAGGTATTAAGAAATAAGTGAATGTGCAAGATCGGCGCGACCATAGATTTAGTATCTATGGGCGCGACAGTCGAGTGAAAACCTAATACAACAGTAATGACTTACTAAAACAATACCATATGTATAGAATCAAGTAGTTGATAAATACAAATTTCTGTGCGTTATGAACTAATAAGCTGTAGCTGCGAAAAGGCACTGGCTTAGCATAAATAGCGCGGTTGCCACGACGCTGATATTCTGTCAGGACCCTTGTCGTCGTCTCAGACAGTTTACTGGCTCATTCATTCATTCATTCATTCATTCACAGATCTTTAAATTAGAGTTAACGTGGATAAGTTAATAAACGACGAATGAAATTGTGCCAAAAGCAACACTTTAGGCGTTAAATAGAGCATGTTTATGTTTACAACTCTTAATACGCTTAATAACGCTTTGTTAAATGTCGTAGATGCACGCGTTTTAATATATTTAAATTCCGGATGAAATGATTTACACGCTCAGATATCGTCGCTAATGCTTGAATAAATATTCCAATAGGATAGCTTCACATCGATACATCTACGAGCTTTGCGGAGTAGCACCGCCACTCGAGCGATAATTCAGCGGAGGGGCCACCGGGCTTAGCGGCAATGACGGGGTTACATTCGCCGCAGCAAAAATTGCCTAGTGAAACACTGCAGGGAGATATATGCTGTTGCCGGCTATTGTCGCAGCGGCGCTTAACTGTCGTTGCGGGATATCGGTCAGCTATAGCAGCAGCATTCATGCGCATTCTGCGCCATTCATGCACATTCGTTTAATGGTTTTAAGTGACATTTATGTGGGTGAAACGCAAAAATAAAGTCTAAGTAATGTCATAATCGCTCATTAGTAGGTGTACCATATCTTACTTACTCTTAACATTGTCGAGTCAACAACTCTGCGTTTCATCTCAAAATCGGCCAGAGTATATCTGTAAATTATTTCACCTCGGCTGGTGTCTTCCTATCGTGCTTAGGTGTACCTCACACTACGTGTCTGGTTGACATAGTAGCGCGGACCTTCCACTAACCCTTATTTGAGTGTTATGTAGTCAGGCGAATAAGCTAACATGTACACGAGGGTAGTTCCTTTGTAAGTATTCAACTTTATATAACAAGTGTACATAATATAATTCAATTTGCGTGATTGAAACAGTCGCGCACAAGGGCTTAGTGCGTACGCGTGAATAGTGACGGCGGCGGCGTACAAGCGACGACACGGGAATAACCTCTTGTTGAATAACAGAATTGACCTCTGAACTCTTGACCTCTTGGCTTACCTATTTATATTATTCGAGAAATCTTATGGCAAAGTTTCCTCAATAAACCTTCGTGATTGTTGAAGTATCGGTGGAAAAATATTTAAAAAATCATCGTGGTAAGAGACATGCGACTAGTCACGACTGCAATACCACTGCCCGTACATTTAAAAAAAGAGCTATTTGTGGGAAATACTGAAAACTTATGTTTGTGCTAGTGTGAACAAGAGTGCCTCAAATTCAGAATTGTTCAGCATATTTTATAATCATACTCCACAATCAAGATACTAATCCGCGGTGCTGGTATAACAATACGTAAGTGCCTACAGCGTCTAGCAAAGATATCAATATAGCACTGTTGAACCTGATGAGCTTCAATTTTTTCAAATTAGTTTAGGTAAGAGCGCCCCCGCGCTCCAAGGGAAGCGTATCTATTTACCTATTTATCCGCACTTGCTCTTATTATACAATCAGGTGAGGCAATTGCAAACAAGGTTGCTATTAGTATTAATACAAATAGTTCAAAAATTGTAAAATAAGTGGGTACATCGCGATCGCTTCGCTTACTTATTGTTAGCTACATATAATCTTATTTCGAGTCCCTGGCAGTCCCTCGTGGCGGGAAGTCTGCGTTAATGTTGACAAACGCCGAAAGTTTCCGTTTGATTCCCGCCGCCACCCCTCAGTCGCCTCAGACCCGCCTAGTTACACGCACATATTTCCGCTGCCGGTTTTCGGCGAATCAACAAAATCTTGTGCAAATCACAAGTTTGCTTTCGCCTCGTCAAGTTATACAGAGATGTTCTCGTCACATTCAAGTTACTCAAACGAGGAAGTAACATGACGCTAGAAACATACTTCGTCTGCTGTGTCATTTGAGATTCAATAACTTCTACTACCTCTTGTAATATCATTTTGTAAGGGTTATTACTGACTACTTTGCCCCATGCAACTCTGTTTATTAACTTTTTAGCTCGATTATAGCATCGGTCACGTGTACACCTGCCGCCACCGCACGTAGTGCGGAATCGCCGCCTGTGAAATGTCCGGGCACTGGCCGAGGCCGTGATAGCAGCCCGTACGTCTCACGTTCTCGCACGGTCCCTCGTTGCCCGTTGCCCGTCGCCGTCCGTCCGACACGCTCGCGGAACGCATCACGCCGGAGCGTGACCTACCCGGTGTTTCCAGCAATCTCATCGATCAAACTAAGCGTTTTTATTTTCACTTAACCAATAGAAACCAGATAACGATATTGACGAACCACACGGGCTCCCCTATGACATACACACATCAAAAAAAGTTTGCGATCACTTCGAAAAACTGAAATCTTTTTTGTTACTGTAGATTATATTATGATTTTTTCTTCTTTTTAGATTTTTTATTTAAAAATAAATTAGAACATAAAACAATGACCCCGTTTAATTGTTTTTTCATATAAAAAGGCTTTCAGTCCTAGCTTACGCTCATTCAGAAATCTGATTTAGTCAATTATAAGCGATTCAAGATATTTTTCGCGGAAAGTTGTGATTGAAAAAATGCCAAGAGGATTATCAGAGGTTTTACGAGCTAGAATAGTAACTTTGAGGGAAGAAGGATACACCACGAGAGTAATAGCACGCAGACTTGCTATATCCCAATCCTGTGTCGTGGCTACGTTGCAGAGGTATCACGGAATGGGGAATTTAGCTGACCGACCCCGCAGCGGTCGCCCAACTGTTTTGACAGCTGCCCAAAAGCGCTATATTAGATTGCTGGCAGCCCGTGATCCAACAATCAACGCCACTAAAATAAAAGCAGAAGTCAGGGCCGCCTCTGGGCTTGAAGTTAGCACGCAGACCGTTCGCAATTGCTTGCACCAGGCTGGATTACGAGCACGGAGGTCTTGGCGAGCTCCGCTCAATTCCCGGCACCGTCAACAACGAAGATTGCAGTGGGCTAGACTTCGGCAAAATGAAGAAGGTGAGGACGAAAACATTTGGCAAAACTGTCTCTTCGTTGACGAATCCCGAATCAGCACTCATCCAGATAACCGACGTGTCCGTGTCTGGAGAAGACCAGGCGACCGTGAAAGACAAAGAACTGCCACTGGAACAGTTCAGCAAGGCGGAAAATCGGTGTCCTTTTGGGGTGGCATTATGATTGGAGCTAGAACGCCTTTGATCCCGTATCGGGGCTTCATGACAGCAGACATGTACAAAGTAGTTGCTATTGATGATATCGTCAGACCATTCCGAGTAAACCATGGGCACCAATTTGTACTGGTCGATGATAATGCGCCCGCACATCGAGCTCAACGAGTCAATGCTGCTCTTCAAAAATACGATATCACACGATTAGACTGGCCTGCCGGCTCGCCCGACTTAAACCCAATAGAGCACGCGTGGGATGCTCTTAAACGAGCAGTATGGAACCGTGAGTCACGTCCCCACACAGTTCCAGAGCTCAGGGAAGCCGCTATTGAAGAATGGGATAGGTTACCCCAGGAAATGCTGGATAACTTGATCCTCAGCATGCCCAGGAGGATCTTCGCATGTATTCGAGCCAGGGGAGGAGTTGTTTTATATTGAATTCACACCTTTTAATAATAAATTGTTGTTTAAGTTTAATTAAACAGTCTTTTTCTTTCTATGAAATTTCTATCACTATTACATTATGATTAATGGCTCAATTTTTTAAAATAAATAATAAAAAATAGTTTTATATTTTAATTTCAAACAGGGTATTCCTATTTAAAGAAAGCATACAACATAGATTTTTTCTTGATAAAGTTAAATTTAAAGAATTATAGGAGCTTATGCTATTGATCGCAAACTTTTTTTGATGTGTGTAGAAAACTCGTACAAAATGTGTGTGTTTAACGGGCCGTTGATTATCAAGAAAGTAACGATGGCAGCAAACTAGCGCAAGAGTGTGCACACTTACGGCATGACTGGAACTCGTCCTCGCCCTTCTCGCAGTCGCGCTGGTAGTTGCAGACCCAGAGCGCGGGTATGCACCGGCCCTCGGGACACCGGAACATGCCGCTCGGGCATACTGTGTCCCCTGCAAATGGAACACAAAGCATTACAATCAAAATTACACAATAATAATAGCAATAACGCACACACTCATATCCCCGCACTAGGGAAACCCTGAATCGCGGGTGCCATGGAGACACACATAAACAACCACAAATTACATCCAAACTCACGAGAGAAATAAAATGTAAACCATACAAATATTTCTCTTGTCTAGAATCGAACCCGGGACCTCTGCGTGTCAGTCTAGCATGGTAACCGTTCGGCCACGAAGGCAGTTGCATCCCATAGAAATATGTTAGATACATACAATTACGATAGTTAAAGACTAACTACTTCGAAGCAAAATAACGGAAAAACTACGGTTACGTACGGGTACGGTTACTGCGGAACCTATACATATATAGGGCTCCGCAGTAAAAGACATTAGTTTCAATATCTATGAACATCTCATCAAAATCTTATATAGTCGTCTCTTATAAGCTCGTCCTTGGTTTAACGCTGACTGTAGCCGTGCTGAAGCACAAAAACAGTCGGCGAACCAAGTTTGGGAAGATGCTCGACTGCGCAAAGCTCCGAGTACTCGGAATCTGAAGAAAGCTTTTAATAAGAAGAAGTAGAGAAGTACAAAAGAGTGTTACGCAGGGCAAAGTTAGACCATGTGCGCCGCATAGGTACAAACTTGCCTCTTTTCTAGCAGGCAGTAAGTCTTTTTGGTCCCTTGCCAAAGCGGTCGAATCAAACTTTAGCCTCCCTTCTTTACCACCTCTTCTGAGGCCGGATGGCTCGTGGCTCAGCGAGTTTTTTTGCCTCACTCTTTTAATGCTACCAAAACGCAGGCGTGTCTATTCTCCACAAAACGGAATCCCTTTGAGCTGACTCTGACTTTTCGTGATATATCCATACCGATAGCCGACCGTCTCCAGTTACTTGCAATGGACCTTTCGTCCAATCTGAACTTCGGCAGATACATTGAATCGATGGCCAAAAATGCAGCCAGGAAGGCGTTATTTCACACCGGGACAATTGCTTCAGCTGTACCAAGCACAAGTGCGGTCGTGTATGGAGTACTGCTCCCACCTAGGATGGCTCTGCTAAACTGCCACTGCCCTCTTGGATTTAATCGACAAGCGTGCCAAGAGATAAAGTTGCCTGCTTGTCGGTATACTACAGGATATATCACGGAGAGAGTGCGATGGATTGCGTAATTTGATTCCGCGTTCCCCTTTTCCTCATCGGGGGACGAGACGTGGGCTGGTATTCCACCCCTATGTTGTGGATATTCCCAGGATTCGCACGAAGCATTTCGCTTCCACATTTATATGATGAGCGGCTAGAGAGTGGAATTCCCCACCTGCTCACTTGTTCCCCGAACGCTATAACTTGGACCTTTTCGAGGTGAGAGTGAATAGGCATTATTTAGGTGTGCATGCTACATCGTAGACCTCATCATCACTTTCCATCAGACGAGATGGAGGTCAAATGCGCTCTTATTTTTTGTTTTAAATATTAAAAAAAGAGTTTATTGAACTGTAAAAGTAATTCAAAGTTAGGTAGAAGAAACATTGAAGTGCATACCCAATCTGAAAAATAAATAGATATGTATAAAAATAGAGAAAACTGTTCGAAAATGAAATTGAAAAGCGGTTCCTTCTTTTCATTATTATTATCGTGTCTGTAGCATTATCAAATAATTATGTAAAACGGAATTCACAATGTAATGAACAATAGAATGGAATTTCAATATTGATTAATGTTCTTGGCTCAAAAAATGCAGAATTCATTAAGTCATCAATTAGAACACGTAAATTATTTACGACGCAAATATTTTTTTAACATGTTCCTGAATCGAAAATCCCAAAAAATTATTACTATTGAATAATGTATTGCGTTCGACGTTAGCAACAGCGAGATGCAATCAGTGCAAATGAGTAGGTAAGCACTCGACGTGCGCCCAACAAACAAATAACTTTTAATTGAATATTAAATCGGCATTCCCTTTGAGGCGAGAAGAATCCTCGGCGGGTAATGATAATGACATCAATTGAAACAAATGGAAAAAAATATCTTTTCAATTCAGTCCATAACGTCATCACGATTTAAAATCCAATTATTTTGAAGCATTTTGTAATGTTTGAGGTGGCACTTCATTAAAAATCCATTATCTTGAATACTTTTCGCTGTTTGCTATAGGAATTATAAAAATTCTATTTGCTACCAAATTCACAATTTCTCAAGAGATCGTAAAGAAATAATTGCTTTAATATTTTTACAAACAACAAAGTGTCCTTAAGCGCGTTTCTTTGAGGCTGCGTACACTCCTCCACAAAGGTATAGAGTATCGCAAACCTCTCCAATTTCACAAAGAGACGACAAATTGCTTTCGCCGCAGAGATAAACTGTTGACCACTTTATTTTTTTGCTATCTATAAATAAGAGGAAATGGATATTTTTGCTGGAAACAAGTTGACGGTATCGAGTTACCGGAACGCGTCAAAAGATTTCCTGAGTTTATTTACACCTCCGGAAAAAGGATAGACGTAAAAACAAACGACCGGTATCTAATCGAGTGGAAGAACGGACGCTTCTCCTTTGCCTGTTGCGATGAAAGAAGTCACGTCCATTGCAACCAACAAGCAACGAAGAGCGTACGTGGCGTGAAAAGGCGAAGCGCGCGCTGACGCGGTATGACGACCAACGTGAAACGCAGCAACAATCTTGCGCTGTCGTTCCGCACACCCGCCAATTTCAATTTGGAACAGAACGCGGATTGATTTATATTGCAATTGCAACCTGCCAGTCACCGACAGCCGCTTTCGGCTTTTCCAATTCTCCGCTGAGATGGTATATTTTAAAAGCCCATAAATTGTACTCGCGCACTTAGCAATGCGATGTTTGGTTCTACGTAAGAGAAACAGTAAAGTTGTCAAATACGTAACGTCACGTTATACGTGTAACATTATAGCGTCCCTTCGGACGCCCTAATAAGAACTATACATGACACCATGCATATGCATGTTATTAATTTCAGATAGCAGTAAAACCTAATCTTTTACGCTCTATTTAATTACAATTATATAAATTTAGTTTCAGTAAAAACATACAGGCGGAGACCGAGCGTTGGGAAACGCGGGAAAACTATAATCCGTTCCCACTGCACTGTACCGAACTCACAACATCAAGCCCGCTCGTAATAGGTCCCAGATTCTACGAACATCAAATAACGAAGTTGAATGCGTTATAGAATAAAAAAATAATTAAAAAATAGTTCTACTTTGTTTCAGCCTGAAGCTATAAATAACGAATTTCAGGTTATGGATCAATTTACACAAAAACTCTCAAATGTAACAAGTGCCTTGAAAAAATAGTAAGTCGTTACAATATTATTGCCTCAGAAGTTAGGATCCAGATTTATTCGCATCATAAAATAAATGTCTCGGAAAATCGCGTAGCTCCCTGAGACAGTACAACGTCAACAGGGTCGTTGAGACTAGATCGGGATGAAACCATCTACTCGCCGTGAACGGCTGGATGTGAATCAATCGCCAGCATTTGTTGCAAGAGGGTTTTAGTATAATGTAAAGAAAATGAGGGTTGTACAAGATACTTCGGTACTATTAAAACTCGATTCAAATCATAGTAAGTAAACAAGTAAACCAATAAATTAGTACAACGACAGCTACCGTGACTGCCAATTTTCCACGAAAATGGCAGATCTGTATTAGTTTACAATGGACAACAGTAATTTTAGATCTGTCATTAGACAGAAAATTTTTACACACAAAATCAACACCATTTATATATACTAAATAAATAAATAATAATAATAATAACGCACACACTCAACATAGCCCCGCACTAGGGAAACCCTGTGTCGCGGGTGCCATGGACACACACATAGACAACCACAAATTACACCCAAACTCACGAGAGAAATAAATGTAGGCCATACAAATATTTCTCCCGGCCCGGGAATCGAACCCGGGGACCTCTGCGTGGCAGTCCGGTATGGTAACCGTTCGGCCACGGAGGCAGTTCAAACATAATATGGTGTCGATTTTGTCGTTAATTGACTTTGTCGCCATAATGAATTAGAAATAATTAATAATTGACAATACGAATCGATTCGAGTTTTAATAGTACAGGAGCTCATAGCTCACGCAGGATTGAAGCTCGTCAATCTGAGGCAGTTCATTCGTTCGCATTCATTCATCGGTCTGCTGAATAAAAGATGGCGCTTCGGGCGAAGGGGCGCGGGCAGGGGCGCGGTCGGGGGCGCGGGCGCGGCGCGCGGATGGCGAGACTAACGAGCCGAGGAACGGCACCGTGTTAACGTAAATACCGACCATCTCAGGGATACTCCTTCAGTGAACCTTATTGAATTAAGGAGTGGTCTCTCGAGGGATTTTGTTTCATTGTTCTTGATAACACGACATTTGCAGAATACGAGATCATGTGTTCGTGTACGTTATGAGCTACGGTAATGCAATCATTACAAAAGAACTCGGTATTATGAGGAAACACGAGTCCCACATTGGTAGCCAAACGTCTTAAGTCCCAATAATAGCTCTTACTGACGATAAAGGTACGTATGTACAGTTCAGATGATGCCACGCTTTATTACGCTTAAACAATATGCTCATTACAATTTCAGATTTCTTTTGACTTAGCAAACTGCCCGTATTTATAAACATAGGTACTTACCGAAAAAGCATTGTATTTAATAGAGGTATAATAAAATTTGTAATCATTTTGCACCACTTTCTATCCTCTTTGATCAAAATTCAAATTCGGCACTTGTGATCGACTTTTTAATATAAATTTGAGAGTTCGGTGAACTAATGATAACGAGAAGCGTGCTCAATCCAAACAAAGGTGTCCACCTGCAGCGCAAGTAATGTGTTCGGAAATCAATTGGCCTGAGTTTCGCTAGCACGCTCAAAAGTTTCATTGTTCATTTGTAGCGCATGATTGACACACATATTGATTAAAATGCTCTCGTGCTACTAAGTAACACTGTTTAAA